GATGGACAAGCTGGAATGGGGTTGAGCGGGAAGCTCAAGACCGTGATGGATGGCACCTGTTGTTACGTGGGCTTATGCTCCATTCATGAAGGACCGATGAGGATGAGTGAGTGACATGATGGCTGGCTTTTAACTGACTCAGGCCCTTTTAGTCAAGGAACTTAAACTTTACGTTTTGATACCAGTGTGTACAACTTCAGTTCAGTATCAAAACATAAAGTTTAAGTTCCTTGACTAACAGGGCCAGTCAGTTAGAAATTGTTGGTTTGTGGGAAGAAGTCTTTTGAATTCTTGAGCAAGTTTGGGAAAAGTTTATTTACTATTTTGAACAAATTTGACAAATGGACTCTTTGCAAATTGGTATAAAAAAGCCCATAAAGTAGCAGTTATGTTTGAATTATGGCAGCTTTTTCATATATACAACTGGATCAATAAAATACTTACCCATTGGGACTGTACTGGAGAACCTGGCTCTCAGTTGTTTGTTCAGAGTCCACTGCCCTCCAGTACTATCCCTTGGCATGTTTAATTGTAATTATGTTATTATGTCTTGGCATCTCAATAAGACTGTAAGAACATTTTTTTTTTTTTTTTGCTTTTCATTTTTATTTTGTGTGATACATGCACTAATAACGTAACATTTCTATCAATCTCTTATGACCTCCACAGCAACTGGCTTTGTTTTCAAGACTAATATGCATATAGTGGTTTTATATCGAATATCATTAAACCAAAACCAAAGTAATGACAGGGGTTTCATTAAGGGCGGGACACGGGGTTAATTAAATTGGATGGTTGTAAGGACAATTCTGCCTGTCTTTTTTGACCATCTCCAGGAACATTTTTCTGATAAAAAGTTCAGTTCAAACAGTTTTGCCAGCCTGTGAAAACCAGTTGCCCTCCTGCTGAAAATGTTAATGAAACCCCTGAATGACTTTATTAGCCAATCACAAAGGGACAAGGACAATGCAAAGAACCAATCAAAATTCAAATGAATACATGTAGCCGACATGAAGTGCAAAAGAATGTTTGCGGGTGCATGTGAGTCACATTGGTTTTGGTTTCATCTATGATATTTGGATGAAAAAGTGGTGCAAGGTTTTGAAACCACTGAGTGGGAAGGCCGTGTTTTCACTGATAAAACGTACTGGGGCTACTATACATGGCCAAAGTAAGTATTTGAATAAACAGTAGAACTATGGTATAGAGTGTTTTCAATGACGTGGCCAGCAACCATGCAAATTGTTTGGAACAAAAGCAAGTTTTTACATTGGAAGGTAGTTCAACTACCACATTTCTTTGTCCACTGAACCCAAGAAAAGAATGAGTTCTTCTCTCAGAAAAGTTAAATTTCCTTCATCGAGACTTTTAAGACTGGTGTATAAGCCATAATTCGCTTTCCACATTCTTAGCCTCTTCATCAGAAAAAACCCACAATTGTGATAATTCTTCCATTTGCTGCTTATTTAGTGATTTTGTTTTGGGGTTTTTTGTCCGTTGACTATCAGAACTTTTGCATTCAGCCTCAGCTGTTTCTTCGTCACTATCCTCAGTTTCACACTTCACACTTGATTCCAAAGAAGAATCAAGAAAAGAGGAACTTGTATCGGAAAATTTCAAGGAGGATTCGAGTCCAGTTCGTCTGCCATTTTGAATAACTAAACAGTACAGCAAGAAGATTTTTATTGGTTAAACTTGGGGGCAGGGAGGAGGCGTGGCTGATGATGTCATATTTTTGCCGCAATAGTAATTCTTAAATGTGAAAGTGGCGGGCGCTCTATCCACTGAGCTACAAGAAATCATGGAGAACAAGGTCATTTAACTGAGTTCATATATGACAGGTGTCCTGCATACTGCTAGGATCAACGCTATTGAAGTCATCGTGAGTAGTGATAAGT